ATGGGAGCCGTATCTTGTTATTTTTTCTGGTCTTTTTCAAGACAAATTTGCAAACATTTGTTAAAAAAGGACATGGGTAGGTGGGCACTTACATGGGGGACATGTACCAATGCAAAATAAATAAATTACACAGCGCTCTCCTCCCGCAGCGCTCGGCCGGCTGTCACTTTCTCTCCTCCCGGCTGGGACACAGAGCAGCGCCCAGCGGGGAGGAAAGAAAGCACGGAAAGAAAGGGTAACGGGAGGAGACAAACTAGTAGCCTCCGGTTACCCTAAGCTCAGTATACCGCGAGCTACAGTTCGCGGTATACTGAGACGCCGCAGTCGGAGTGGATCCCGACTTAGATGACGGGATCCGCCCAGCTGCGTGAGTGACAGCTGGCTCTGCCTATCTAGAGGCAGAGCCAGCTGTACCCGCCCCCTCCCCTGTCCGTTCCGCCAGTCAGCGCTGGCTGATCGGAGCGGGGAGAGGGGAATCCAGCCCCTCCCCCTGTCACGGCAGAGAGCCGAGCGAGCCGAGGCGAGCGAACCCGGTATGTGTTCGCTCACCTCCCGATCTACTGAGCCGACCTGTGACAGTCTCATTGTCACAGGTCGGCTAGAACTATGAGTTGAGTGAAAAGCACTCACCTCATAGTTCTCTTTTAAACAGTATAAGCAGCAGTGAGAGTCACTTGTCATAAGTCAGTGTCACTTGTCACTAGGCGTCATTTGTCCTGTGTCATAGTCAGCAGTCAGAGTCACTATATAGTTATTTTTTCCATCCTTCTCTTTTGTGGCCTATTTACATATCCTATCAAAAAAAATTGATTACATAAAATAAAAATAACATGAAAGGGTTTCTAAACCCTCCGGTTTTTTTTTTCTTCATATATCTACTGCTAGCAAGCAGTAGATATATGCAAAAAAAGTTTTTAAAAAACGATTTAAAAGCGGTTTAAACTTACCCCTGTCTTCGCCGCACGCTCCCGTCCGCAAATCCGAAAATGCTCGGGCGGCTGCAAAGCATCTTGGGGCGGGCGCATGCGCAGTTCGCATTTTCGGCCGGGAGACGAGGAGAGACGCAAGGTAAGTCTATGGACACGTGCACCCGCATGCAGACACAGTGGGACAGGAAGTGCCAGCAAGGACAGAGGAGTCAGCGCTGGATCGGAGACCCGCAGCAGCGCTGGAGAGAAGGCTGAAAAGGACAGGAAAGAAGAGGAAGATCGGATTAAGAGACATAACTTAAGGTAAGTGCTTTGATTAACATTGGGGGGAGGGGAAAAAATTTGACTTTAATGTCACTTTAAGCATTTCATAATATATAACTTTATTCATCGTATTGTTATTCTTAGTAAAATCCTGAAAATGTCTCCAATTTATGCCTCCTGTCCATTTTATTGAATTCCATATAAATATTAACATGGTTGGTTGACACCCACAAAGCCTTATTGTTGATATTAATGTGGATTTACTGTGTAAAATATTGTAAACTGTAATAGGACATGTAAACAGGAGAAAGGAGGTGAAGAACAATGGTTATTTGGACTGTTGACAATTGACTCTGACTGCTGATAAGCGACAATGACACTGTTTAAATGAGGAAAAGCAGCAGATAGGAGACCTGTCTGTTGTTTCATGGATAATTGGCAATTGTTTTTGTCCCAATAATCCCAATAAAGAAATTTAAAATCGTAATTTTAAAATCCAAAAGCAGTATCGCTGGGCCCCCTAGAGCCCCAAGGCCCTGGTGCGTCCGCACCGCCTGCACCGGCGGTAGTTCCGCCACTGATTTCTTGTTTAATTTATAAATAGGGTTTCTTGCCGTGATTCTGCCCGTGCAATTGCAGCTGAAAAAAACGTGTGTCGCGAAAAAGGCACAGAGACATATCCCGATCTCTGCAGCTGCGGACCGGGATAATGTCGCAGTACCTGTAATTGGCGCTGTCAGCTTCCTGGCGGGCTCGGCACATGGAGCTGCAAACACGCCTGAGCCCATCACTAATGGATATAACCCCATTGAAAACACTGCGACCACGCGGCAAGCGATGTGCGCAATCACGGTCCAGGGATTGCCCATGTGTAAACCTGGCCTAAACGGCAGTAAATACACAAAGCCTTTTTAATCACTTCCTAGGGCAGTGGTTCTCAACCTGTATAACCTCAGGACCCAGATTTGTCTTTGGTCATTAAAGAAGAACTATGGGGTCAGGGCTTTTCCCCATAGTTCTCCTAACGGTAACGGAAGGACACAAACTAGCGTCCTCCCGTCACCCAAAGCTCAGTATACCGCGAACTGTATACTGAGACGCCGCAGCCGGGACGGATCCCGACATTACTGTCTGGATCCACCCAGCTGCGTAAGTGACAGCTGGCTCTGCCTATCTAGAGGCAGAGCCAGCTCTACCCGTCCCCTCGCCCGTCAGTTCCGCCCAGCGCTAACTCCTCTGTCCTTGCTGGTATTTCCTGTCCCACGGTGTCTGCATGCCAGTGCACGTGTCCATAGACATACCTTGCGTCTCTCCTCATCTCCTGGCCGAAAAGGTGAGCTGCGCATGCGCCCGCCCCAAGATGCGTTGCGGCCGCCCAAGAAATTTCACATTTTCGGACGGGAGCACTTTTTGTATATATCTACTGCTTGCTAGTAGTAGATGTATGCAACAAAAAAACCAGAGGCTTTAAAGGAGAACTATGAGATGAGTGATTTCCACTCACCTCATAGTTCTAGCCGACCTGTGACAATGAGACTGTCACAGGTCGGCTCAGTAGATCGGGAGGTGAGCGAACACATACCAGGTTCGCTCACCTCTCGATCCTGTCACGGCTCTCTGCCGTGACAGGGGGAGGGGCTGGATTCCCCTCTCCCCGCTCCGATCTGCCAGCGCTGCCTGGCGGAACGGACGGGGGAGGGGGCGGGTACAGCTGGCTCTGCCTCTAGATAGGCAGAGCCAGCTGTCACTCACGCAGCTGGGCGGATCCCGTCATCTACGTCGGGATCCGCTCCGGCGTCTCAGTATACCGCGAGCTGTAGCTCGCGGTATACTGAGCTTAGGGTAACGGGAGGATGCTAGTTTGTGTCCTCCCGTTACCCTAAGGAGAACTATGGGGAAAACCACTGACCCCATAGTTCTCCTTTAATTATACTTTAAAGAGAAATAAATAGGTCTCCCTTTACTTCCTGGAACACTGGCACATGTGACTAGGGCATGTGACCGTACACATCATCTCAGGGGAAGAAAATGCCTTTCCCTGAGCTCTCATGAGATTACAGATGAGATTTCCTAGCAAATGCTCTGCTGATGTTATCTTCTCAGGCTGCAACACTTGGGCACATTTGATCATTTGTGCCAAAGTGGACCAGGAAATGGATTAGGGGCTAGGTACACATATGTGATATAATTATATAGCCCTATCTGTCCTCTAAAAAACAATATATAATATGTGTGGGTACATTTAGTAAGAAAGTATATTACTGCTGTGGAAGAATCACACAGCAAAAATGTAAAAAATGTGTCAGTCATTTATGAACAGAACCTGAAAACTAGCTCAGTCATGAAGGGGTTAAATGAAAAACATGTTTGTTTATTTAATGAATGCAATATGATTTAAAATCAGCATGCATATGTGATTAAGGGGTCCATAGCAGAAATCACCTGCACTCAAACGTGGGTAAAAGTCCACTTTAACATGTGTAAGGGCTTTTTCACACCAAATGCAGACCAGATCTGCACGAGTTTCTGCACACGCAGTGCAGTGGGTTGTGCCGCGGTTTTTATGCATTTCAGGCCGTTTTTTGTTAAAAATAAATAAATATTTTTTTAAAGTTTAAAATGGGCTTTTAGTGCGTAGTTTGCATGCGTTTTGATGTGTTTGCACGCCTTCCAGAGCAGGTAAAATAGGGCTTGCTGCAGTTTTTTTTTACATGCTCTGGAACATTGAACGCTGCGGTGTGAACTAGAGCCCAAAATACCATTGGAATACATTGGATGCAGTTTTGATCCGGTCTGTAACTGCTCTGCTCTTGGAACGCGCTTGGTGTGAACAAGGCCTTAACCTAGCCTTATTTAAAATCTTGTGAGACTAGCCATCATAGTGCTCATACACACAGGTGCAAATACAGGGCCAAGAAGTTTTGCATTTGGGAACTTAGGCACGTGCTCATGTGTAAGTGCCAGTATTTGCATTTACACACGTATTCCCACAAACAGAATTTTCTGACCATACAATCCTAGGGACAGAAAAAAAGCAGCAGCTGGGTCTCCCCAGTGCAGCAGATATAGACATATTTAACATTGTATGCCAGTATTTCCGCCCACGTGCCTGAGCCCATAAGCACAGCTTCTTTGATCTCATACTGTGGATACACAGCTACAGCCTAGGCACCCTTACATACCAGGAAGTGCACTATGTTTCAGGAGGATTTTTTTCAGTGTACTGGCAAATTAACTTCTCTAGATGTTGCCTTTAAAGAAGACCGCCTGGGGAAATTTTATTAATCCCTGCAGTGGGGCTAATCACAAAAACGAGCACCTAACCCTTGAACTACTGCAAGGGTTAATACAATTTTATCTGGAGGTCTTCTTTAACCTCATAAGCATAGAACAATCTTGAGTGCTAACATGTAAATTCTAGAAACTAAGTTCAGTCAATTTAGTTCCAGCAGTCATGGCAGTCACGTGACAGTCACGTGACTGTGACATCTCCTCCTTCAACCTTCTCTACGCTGTGAGAACATTTCTTCTGGTGGAAATTTCCTTAGATGACGTAATACATGCTTTGAGCTGTACAAATCCGCTGATAAAGTACTCTGCCCGGGGCGGTGTACGCTCGCACAAACTATTTTCACACACGTGTAGTTCCACTTTGGGAAAAAAACAACTTAGTTTCCTGTTTACTAGGAGTTGAACTCACATGATGATAGCGAACATATTGAGCTGTGTTTTTATATGAACAGAAGCTTGTGCAGTACTCCAGATTGAGTGACCGGTGGCGGGAGGATGGAGCGGGGTGCCGCGTCAATGCCATGTCTGGACATCTTGCACGCCTTGTATAGTGATGTGTTCGGAATTGTTGATTATATAGAAGAGTTACAGAAGCACAGTGTGGAAAGAGTGATCATTTCGCAGGAAGAAGATACAGAGCAATATCGATCATTTCTAACGGGGCTCCTAGTTTGCATCCCATGGGGGGCAAAGGAACCCCCCACCCCCATATCATTCCTGCAGGTAAGATTGACCAGTATGAAGAGGGTGGTATTGAAGGAGTATCATATTTGACATATTATGATGGGATTCCTAACAAGCCCCCATTCACACTTGTGCGAATGTGAGTGTGTATGTGTTTTTTTGTGAGTGGCAAATAGGGCAGCCCATTCATTTCTGTGCACGACAGTCACATCAAAGAAGTCTCTGCCTTTTTTTCCAAAACGTCTACACCAAAGCACATTGTCCTTCAATTATGTGTTTTTGTGCGGTTTCATGCATGTAAAAATCATGCTGTAGCGAGGGGTACTGTTAATGAATGGCATGCATCACTTGTGGGTTTTTTTATGCAGAAGGAAGGTCATCAGCATACAGCAAAAGGGTGCTCTGCTAAGCATTAACCACTTGCTGACCAGGTGTTTAGACCCCCTTCCTGGCCAGGCCAGGCCATTTTTCAGTATTCAGCGCTCCGGTACTTTGACTGACGTTTATTCCATCATGCAACGCTGTATTGAAATTAATTTTATACCATTTTTTGGGGACACATCGAGCTTTCTTTTGGTGGTATTTATTCACTACTGGGGTTTTTATTTTTTACTATATTTTGGGAAAATTCCTGAAACTTTTGGAAAAGGAAAAAAACGTTTTTTTTTACATTATGTTAGGAAACAATTATTATTATTACCCAATTATTTTGATAAAATATAAAAGACGGGGTCACGTCGGGTAAATAGACACCAAACATGTCATGCTTAAAAATTGCGCGCACCCGCGAAATTGCAAAAAAACTACCATACTCAAAATTGGCCATAGGCGACGCTTTAAAAGCTTTTACCGCTTATCAGTTTAGTGTTATCAGTGATTGATGGCCCTAGAATTATTGCTCTCACTGTGACGTTTGCGGCGATATGTAACGTGCGGCGCATTGGATGTAATTGGGGGCAGGGGACTTTATTTTTATTTTTTTTATTGCTTTGATATGTGATTTTTTTTTTTTTACTTTTTTTTTTTCCACTAAACTTTATTGCTACTTTAAAAAAACATTTTTTGTTTTTTTAATTCTTTTTTATGTGTAACTTTAAATATTGTTTCCAATTAACTTTATTGCTATCAGATAGGGGGCTAAGAAACCCCCTTATGTGATAGCAAAAGAAGTGACAGGTCCTCTTTATGGAGACATCAGGGGTCTCCCAAGACCCCTAATGTCACCTAGGACCCCCCTGATGAAGCAGAGATCTGCTTCATCAGCTTCTCTCCAGCATCTGAAGCTGGAGAGTGACACGAGAATGCGGAAGTGATGTAATATACATAAGTTCCACATTCTAACAGCGGAGAGGGGACCGGAGGGAGGTCGTGTACCGACCTCCCTCTGATCCCGTGTCAGAGAAGCACTATGCTGGTCCCGGGCTCGCACCAGGCACAGCGGAGCCTGGGACCAGCGTGACAAGCGTTCCGCCGGCTCTATAGCTGGCGGATCGCTTGTATGTTAACGGGCATCGCTGCCTGTTTTTAAATTGACGTTTCCCGCTCGCGCGCGCTGCACCCGAGCGGGCGGGGCTAACAGGCCGTGTATACACGGCCTGTTACATCCAGGAAGCTGCCGGCCGTTTATGTAGAACAGCCGGCCGGGAAGCAGTTAAAGATGCTTGCCATGAAGCGCATGAATATTTGTGAGACTTCAGAAGTCGATAAATATATAAATATGTGTGTGTGTGTGTGTGTGTGTGTATGTGTGTATGTATGTGTGTTTCAGGGGTGTGGAAAAAACAAAAAAACTGCTTGGCCAAGGGCTAAAACAGGGGCCCAATCTACTTGTCCCTCGTGACAATCTACTTGTCCTGATACAAAAAAAAATAGTTTTAATCAAAACTGTCTTTAACTGTGCTAAGAAGCGCTTCTCATTGGTTGACGTGGGGGGACCCAGGGTCCAGGTTTGGTAATTCCATTTTCCCAAATTACCTAGGAAAGTGAACTTACACTTTAATGTACATTGTGCGTGTAAAATAGTTCTGCTGCCTGGCTACCACAATATGGCACACAGTGGAATGGTGGCAGCACACAATGCGCACACACAATGTTCTATGAGTGCGTTTTATTTGCATGCAGATGGCGGGGGCAGCAGGGTTGGTTTTAATTAGATTTTTTACTTTTTTTTTTTTTACTTCTATTTTTTTTAAATTTTTATATATTTTATAATTTTTTTCCACCTAATTTTTTTCCTATCACACAGGGGCTTACAAGCCCCAATGTGATAGTTTGGAGGTGACAGGTTCTTTTTGTGGAACCTGCCCTCCAGCAACGAACAGATCATCTGTGCAGTTTCTGACAGCTGAGACAGGCGCTCCAGTCTCACTGATCACGCAGAGCGAAGAACAGATGTTCTTCGCTCTGCTCCACACTCCCCATCCTGAGCTAATTTGCTGTGGTCCTGGGTCCCCCAGAAGAGTAGGTGACCCTTAAAACCACAGCTGGGGGGGGGCAGACAGACTCGTACAAATGATCTGATTAGATCACTTGTATATCGCGCGGCGATAGGAATTCCACACTGAGGTTAACCACGTTAGTGTGCTATGGTGCCATTCACTTTAAAGCCCTATACAGGGCTCTGCGTGGTGGATGTAGATGGGGACAGGAAGGCTGGAGGCACAGCACGGATCAGAGAAGCTGGGGAGTCCTCGGCACGGCATGGATGGAATTCCTCGTTGGGGTCGCTGGATCTCTGTGAAGGAGAGGACTGAGAGGAGCCGCTGCTGCCATCTTGAGAAGACCGGGACTTTGCACGTGGAAAAAAATCACTCAGTTTATGGGGCCGTGAGCCGTCTTTTAATGGCTGGTCATAGCGGTAGGTAGAACTGCGATGTAGAGGGTAGATGTCATTTTAGAAACCCGTTCGCTTTGTAAATGTGTCCCAGGCTGGCGTGGACACGGAGCACTGAAGTTATGTTAAGGCTAGCTACCAAACCGCACTGAACCATGCGGTTTGGTAGCTAGCCACGCCCCCTCCCTTGTAAGCGTTTTTAGTGTTTTAATAAAGCTACTACACCAGATACCTTTCTCTATTCCCTTTGAGTGATATGGCACAAATGGAAGGATTGTGAAGGCAAACGCTTGGATGAGACTTCTTTTGATGTGACTGTCGTGCACAGAAATGGCGACTATAACGGACCTGGAGAGCTGAAGTGGCAAGCGCGAGGAGGATTGTATATACGGGTGCACTTTCTGACCATTATGTTTACATATGGTCAGTGAAGACTGTTGAGTGCAGTAATTGAGTGTTGGTCCAGGGAAAGTGTAGCACAGTTTTCTCTCACTGGATTTGAAGTATATTGGCACATCTACACGATTGATGGCATATACTTTTAGATACCTTTTTGTATGATCTTGGCTATTTATCACTAGAATTGTTGCAATTAATATTTATCCAGTGCGGTGCATATTGTATTTATAAAAGAGCATTCTTTGTCCACAACAACATGAAGGGTGAATGTGGTTGTGAAAGCCAAACTGTTGCCCCCCCCCCTCCCCCCCCTTATAAGTGTAAATTAGTATGTAGATACTTTTTGCTGAACATTGATCATACTCTGTATTTAAAATAATGCATTCATCTTTGTTTAGACCTCGACTCAGAGAGAAGTTGTCGCCAGAGTAATTCAACGTATCTGTGAAAAGAAGAAAAAGAACGTTCTAGCTTTTGGTTATGGCTTGGCTGGTGAAAAAAACTCATTTCAGGTGGTGTTTGCACCAAATATTTGCAGTTATTATCCTAATTCAACAACTACTACTATTGGCACCAGTATTCTCTGGGAAACCCTTCTTAGTAGAGTGGGAGACAGTGTAATGATGCACTTGCTTGAAAACTGTTCCTTGTTTATGTTTGTACCGCCCACTTGTTGCTATCAAATTAGTGGCCTACCAGTGTACAGTCTATCCACAACGGACACTGTTTCACCTGCTTGGCTTAAACCGAGTTCATCACTTTACAGAAGCAATATTTTATATCAGTTCATTCAGAAAAGCACTAAATCTTCTAAAAGTCATTCTTTCAAAACAAAAAGCCGGATAAAGCGAACATCAGGAAAAATAATAGATACTCTTTCACCTGTAAATTGTGCCAAAGTGGGAGTACCAGTACACAATAGTTTAGTGCTACACCATCCGAGAACTGTTGGTGCATCTGCCACAAAATCAAAGCGTGAAAAAAGGTTTTCAGATTTTGATGCATGTAGCAGTCCGAATAAGAAATCCAGGACAGAATTGCCACTGAATAAATGCAATTTTGATTTTACAAAGGAAAGTGTTAATCCTGCTCTTCTACTAACCTCATTCTCAGAAAAACTGAATATTTTGAAACACAACATCCTTGAAACAAATACTGCTGATGCTGTTTTTTTAAGTAACCATGATGTGTCACAAAATGCTTCTGATGTACAACGTGTAGTGTCTACAATGCCAGAGAAAGATGGCAATATTTGCATTGATTTTAGCAAGCTCTTGTATTCAAGGCATGTTTCAAAGGAAGGTTTTTTAAAAACATTTTTGCTCAACATGCTTGAAAGCAACGCCAAAGGTAGTCTGAATCTGATTGAAACGGTATTCCTGAGAGCCAGCCCGTTCAAGGAGAACCACACAGAGTGCCATTTTCAAATTATGGATAGGAAAAAACTTCCAAATCGTTACTGGCAAATGAGACATGTTTTTCAAGAACTCATACAAAATCATAAAAAATGTCCTTACTCACAACTCTTAAAAAAATGTTGTAATATAACAGAAAGGAGGATAAAAGTTGATAGATGTAACAGCCCCCTATTAAACATGAAAAGTGATCACTCAAATGAAACTAAACCATGCAGTACCTTAAAAATCGACATGAAAAGAAGTGACACAGCTGTATCTTCAATGCAAAACCTGGTGGATGTCACCACTAATATTGAGCAACTAAATACATGGTCTGTTAATGAATCTGAGGTGATGATGCTTCTTGAGAAGCATAACAGTGTCTGGCAAGTGTATACATTTGTCAGAGAATGTTTGCACAGAGTGGTTCCTGAAACATTATGGGGTTCTAGCCATAACAAATGCCGCTTTTTAAAAAATGTGAAAATATTAATTCATTCTGCCAAATGTGAAAAAATGTGTTTGTCAGAACTAATGTGGAAGATGAAAGTAGAAGACTGCTTTTGGCTGCGTCTTAAGAAATGTAAGTATTTGTATTCTTTAGCTATTTTTTTAATTCAATATTTAATGGTACATGAAATTAAATAAAAGCTAGGTATTTTGCTCCATCAGCATGTTTTATATTGGTTATTGTTGTAGGACCTCACTGAAGAAATATGTTCATGTTGGTTATAGCAACAAGTAAGCAATGAGACATAAAAATTTGGCTGTGGGAATCAAAACTTTTCCTTTAAACAAAGCTATGTGTTTCCTATAGCTAGTCATCTGGACTTGGTCTGTAATGTTGAAGACAAGATGCTTCTTCAGTTCTAATGAGTGTCGGGAACATATCTCATAATTTTATAGCCACACAGGTAATTCAGTCATATTAGTGCAATCACCATGTATCATGACAGATGCTGATTGTCAAAGAACATGGTGGGAGGTATGGAACTTTGTGAAAACCCCGTGTTCTAATATTCCATAGTGTCTGGACATCTGCAACTGGTGTTAAAACTTTGATTTACATGGCTGATGATGTTCATTGTCACATTGCTGGGTAGACATGTTAAAACAACACTATATGTGGGTGACAGTTGGTGTTGAAGGCCCCCACCCCCGCTAATAAATGGTTTTATAGTTGCACTAATCTAATCAGACTATTTTCAATAGCATTTTCTTTTTACTTTACTTTATTTTTAAACTGTTTAGGAAAGCAAGGCAGCACGGTGGTCTAGTGTCTAGCAGATGGTGTGCAACCTGTCTTCTTGGGCTGGACACCACTTGCTAAGGAATTAGCAAATCAATCTTCCTTGAATAAAACTTGGGCCAATTTAAAGTTTCAAATCACTTTGCAGACTTGAGTTTTGAGCACTTTAATGGAGAGGAAGCAGTTTCCATACTTGGTTGGTATTTTCTTCACCCGGTCTATGCCAAAATGCTAAGAAATAAGCCAGTAAAGGACCAACTTGCAGATGCTTCGGAGTGTGTGTGATCAACTTCTAGTTGCACCAATGATTTGCAAGAGAGGTATGCAGTCCTCATCCAATGTGAAATTGGTTACGTCAATTTGCTAATAAAGTCTGTGTATATGCCATTGTCACGACTCACAGTTGGAGTTTAGAGAATGTGTTAGGATCATATGATTAGGCATGAAGAAAGGCTACATGAGATGGAAGACATGGTAGATAGGGACATGTATCACCAGAACCCCAGATATGTATAATTTGAAGAGTTAAGGGTGTTTGCATACACCAACCTCCACAAGATTGCAAAAGAATACAAACAGTGGTCTGGAAAACCCCATTGAGTATCTCCTATCTTTGCAGAATAAGGTGTGTGAACAGTGTTATTTTGTCATGGAAGGAAGCAGGGACTAAGGGAGTGTTGACCCATGATCCACAATTGTGCAAAGCCTGATAGTTTATAGTGAATTTTGTTAACTCCTAGTAGCCTGGAGAATACCTGCTAATGGGGAACTATGGCAAAGGTTATTGCCAGGTTATGTAACTGGATTTGGCTTATTTCGCCAGTTGGGGGAGCTTGAATATACTAAAACAAAACCTGTCATGATAGATAAGGTTAAGGCTAAACTTGGGGAGAATAAGCCAAAAAAAAAAAAGCAAGGTAGGAAATAAGACTATAGGTGCAGAGAAAACCAGGCTAATTATCAATAAAAAAACAAAAACAACACTATTAAAAAAAAAAAAGAACATGCCCCTCCTGTTACTCCCAAACTGATTCCTAAACTACAAAGGAATCCAAACCCCTGGGGTGGAGATCCTAGGAATGGGTTTTCTTTGTGATAGGGAGGTGACAGCAGTGAGGGCAAAGACAGCAGGAGCTGGACGCTCATATGTACCTGTAACTCATCCTCTCCTATACATGTGTGTTGGTTTTAGTGGATATTGGTGCCAAATTCACTTTAAAAGGCAATGTCTCCTATCATAAAGGAGAAGTGATCTATGTAGGTTTGTGTGGAAAGACCACACACATAAGGGCATGGGTGAACTTGGCTATTGGCAAGAGATTTTGGACAGCCTGCCCAGAGGCCACAAAAATATTAGGAAACTGTTCTAAGAACTGTTGAGGTTATGAATCCGTAGACGTGTTGTAAAGTCCTTCTAAGCTCTGTCATTCCCAATAAAGAAACAAAATGGGACATGGGAAGATTACCCTGGGTTACAAAGGCCTAAATGATGTAGTACCTCTATTAAAGGCAGCTGTACCTCTTGCGTTTTCCATTACTGAAAGAATTGTAGTGGTAGGAGCTTGCCCCCATGATGGACTGCAATCTCACATTTAGTTTACTAATTTGTATTGAAATTGTCTATCACAGAAGCGAGCTTGGAGCAGTGGCTACTTTAAACACACACAGACCATGAGGAACAAAAGTAGCCACCCTCCAGAAGGAAGGACAGTGTCAGCACAAATTCAGAAATGATTTGGGGACCTACAGCAATGTCATAGCAGGACATGCATAAATAAGCTATATTTTTGTTAACCTTAAGGAGCAATGACAAAATTATTCAGTCATGGTTGTCCATGCCATAAGGAACCATAACGGAATAATTCCGTCATGGGTCTTAAATGGGTTAAGCTTTCCTTATGCGCTAAATGAGAACTTGCATATGTCACATCGAATTAAAGCCCTTTTTGTCCTTTTCAAAACGGTATATAATATGTGTTGGAGCACTAAATGAGAGATGGAAATTGTGGTTGAACACACACACAGCAAAAATTGCTTTGGTCCTTAACTGAAATACAAGCATCTGAAGCTTGGTCCTTAAGGGGTTATTAGTTATGGTACTTTAATGCATTTTTTTTTTAGATTTAGTACCTGAGTTTAGTGTCCCTTTTTAAATACTTAATTTTACTGGGGATTGTGCCAATGCTAAAGCTGGCCATACACCTTACAATTTATCTGCAGATTTTCTGTGGTCAGATGGAAAAGGTGCAACAGATTCCTGCATCTTCACTTAACTGTGTGGGTGGAGTAATCTCCACCTAGGCCAATCTGTTGCACTTTTTCCATCTGACCACAGAAAATCTGCAGATAAATTATAAGGTGTATGGGCACCTTAAAGGTGCCCATACACTGTACGATTCTCGTACGAGAATCGCGGGAAATCCCGCGATCGTACGATAATCGTACAATTTCCGTGTGGCACTGGAATGTCAATGCAGTCCCCTCCATCTTATATTTTTTAAATGCCAGCTTCTTTTCTTTGATGTGTTGTCTTAGTTTTTAGCCATGCAGGTTTAGCTCGCGATCTTTTATTTTTGTTACCCAATGGCATGCTTGGTTGCTGACTGATGGCTGGGCTGTTGTTTCTCAGGCCCTGGTGCTTCCTGCACTGTGAACATTAGAAAGCCTGCTTTCACAAAGTTAGCCATTGCATAATGTTGGCACACTTTTGTATGTGGTGACAAGAGTGACCTTCACTCCTTGTTATACACCATGGAAAGAATCCTGACCTGTACAGTAACCTGAGGAATTCATCCCAGCACCGGAGATATTTTTCATGATTTGCTGATCTATTTCTGTTACGGCTTTTGTAAAAGGTACAATCTCATGTGACTACGTTGGATTAGGAGTCTGGTTCTCTTGGTGTCTTGGCTCCTTTTTTAAACCTAGTAAGCATTTTACCTTTTCCACCTCTACTCACTTGGTTGTTTTTCTAGTTGCCTTCCTCTCTGCTAGTTGTATTTATGAGCTGGCATTCTTTTCCTGTAGGACCCTCTCTAGTCTTGCACAGGGATGGTGGTGTTGAGACCCACAGCTTCTTTCTTGCCTGATGGGGTTTTTGGACATTCTGACTCACCCAGGACATGTTTCCTGGTTACCAAACTGCAAACTGCAGCTTTTAGATTAACCTCTTGTACTGTGCCTCTTGTTGGTTGTTGACCCAGCTTGGTCTTTGACACTGCTCCTAGGTTTCCCTTTTGTATTTGTTGCTGACCAGTCTTGGACTTTGACGCTAAGTTATTATTCCGCTTGGCAGTGTGCTTACTGGTTACTGACCCTGGCTAACACCATACTGTGAGTCACTCTGTTACTATTGATATATATTACCATTGGTCCACTTGGGAAAATCTTCTTCAGCATTAAGGAATGCCCACTTTCCAAAGTGGGGGATATCGGTTCACCTTTTGTGGACATTTGTCAGCCATCATTTCAGATGCTTGGGTATGGGAGGTGAATACCTGGAGCTACAAGCTAGGTGGTGCTTGTTTTAAAGGAGAACTATGAGGTGAGTGCTTTTCACTCACCTCATAGTTCTAGCCGACCTGTGACAATGAGACTGTCACAGCTCGGCTCAGTAGATCGGGAGGTGAGCGAACACATACCAGCGTTCGCTCACCTCTCGATCCTGTCACGGCTCTCTGCTGTGACGGGAGGGGCTGGATTTCCCCCTCCCCGCTCCGATCCGCCAGCGCTGACTGGCGGAACGGACGGGGGAGGGGGCGGTTACAGCTGGCTCTGCCTCTAGATAGGCAGAGCCAGCTGTCAGTCACGCAGCTGGGTGGATCCCGGCACAATTGTCGGGATCCGCTTCAGCTGCGGCGTCTCAGTATACCGTGAGCAGCAGCTCGCGGTATACTGCGCGTCTCAGTTGTATACTGAGCCTAGGGTGACGGGAGGACACTAGTTTGTGTCCCCCCGTTACCCTAAGGAGAACTATGGGGAAAAGCCTTAACCCCATAGTTCTCCTTTAATGATCTGGTTATATGGTATCTCTGTTGTGCATAGCCTGTGGTTGCTCTGGACATTCAATTTACTAGTTCCTGTGATGGCAAATCTTTTTTGCCCATGTTTAGCTTTGTTTATAGAACTTTTAATTTAGTATATTGCTTCTACACTTGCCACTGTAATTTGATATTTGTATTGTTCTACCTTGGATGACTCTCCTTGATGCATAGTGAATAAACTAGATTTGATAGTGCATTGGTAACAGGATTAGGGATTACCTGGCAGATATTATTATTTTTTCCATATAAATTTTTATTGTTTTATCACAAAAGACAAGACAGTAGAATACAATGCAGTAGTATACAATACATGGTGCTTAGATCATGTTCAGGATCTTATGTCAAGGTATAACAGAGGTTACATAGAGATTAATGTGTTAGGATGAGTACGTATGAGTACTAATCTTTGTTGGTCGACGAAGGCTCATTCAGAGGCAGCTGTCTGTCCATGAGGGAAAGATAGCGTATTTGGTCTAGACTGTAGCTCAGTGTATAAGCAGATTGATTGGTAAGTTGGTATCATCCAACATGGGTAGAGGACCTTGTAACTTCATTGCCAAGTTGCTGCACCATGGGCCTCTGGGTTGTACTTGCCCCCTGGGCTAAAATTTGCCAGTCAGCCCCTGCTTCATGGTATAGGATAAAGGCACCATTAAATACTAACATTACAACGAGAAACATAGGGGACACGCAGACAGAAGGGGAGGTGGTAGGGTGGAAGGAGGGTCAGGTAGCAAAAGAGAGGGAAGATGTCGGGCCGAGCTGAAGCACTAAAGATCGAGCCAGAGGGTGATGGTAGGAGGTTCTTTCACAGAGTGCAAAGGTGGCGAGGGGTAGTTGGGTCTAAGTACTTGTCAAACCAAGGGGACCAGATAGTCTCAAATTTGGCCATTTTGTCCTCTAGTTGTGCCGTACGTTTTTCCTGGGCCATCACCCAGTTGACATGGGTTATGGCACTGGCAATGCTCAGGGTTGACGTCAGCCAATTTTTTGCAATCTCTCTTTTGGCGGAGGTGCACATATGCATGGAAAGGTGGAATTGAGTGCGGGAAAGGTCTACTGGCCTACAATTGAGTAGTGCAAAATAGGGGTCACTGGTCAGTGGCACCGAGAACAGAGGAGTTTCGTGAGGTTTGGTAGGGTTACCACAGGGTTTGTTACAAAGAGTATGGCATCATCCGCAAACATGCATATCTTATGTGAGGTGCCTTCGTGATCAATGCCGGCGATATCGGGGGAGTTGCAAATCTTCTGGGCTAGGGGTTCCAGTGCTAGGGCGAAGAGGAGAGGGGATAGGGGACAACCCTGTCTGGTTCCCCTGAGGATCGAGAAGGGTTGGGAGCAGAAGCCTGCATATTTCATACGTGCAGTTGGTCTATTGTATAGAGAGGACACCCAGGCTGATATTATTTTTAGAAATATTTGTATGTTTTTATATTCCTTTTTAAAGGAATGTGCTCCCCAAAGCTTTACTACTGGCTTAAAAAGATCCACATGAATGTCCTAAGCTGCCATCTTGCAGACAAAACAAGTTGGTAAATGAAACAATCAGCTGCCCTCATTACCAGCATCTCTGCAGAGCGCATGTAACCACATGGAGGTCATGAGTCCAGTCCGTCTGCTAAGGAGGAATTGGAACAGTGGGGAGTTGAGCCTCTTCTTTGCCTTCAGTTTGAATAAGCACACTTACAATATGTCCATGGCAGATGTTCAGCACTGTTCACATGAATTAATCTTAAGCAGCTTTTGGTTGTTTGGCATATTCTTTTTCCACTGTCTTTATGGATTTGCCAAACCCTGCATGCTATGACGGCTCAGTATGAATGACCCTTTTGCTTATTCACTCTAATCATGGCAGCTGCTATACTGTGTGTCTTGATAACATTGCATTTTGCATGAAAAAAAGTGATGGGCTTGCCTTAACAATAGACTACCAGTGGATTTGACACCATCACAAGCCAAATATCTGTGGTAGGAAGTTTGGAAAGGTCAATATTTACCTGCATCTATGAACGTGTGTGTGTTCATTGATGGAGTCACAGCAGGGATTAAATTAGTATATTGTAAAAGTGTAGGGTTTCCATGTTTTAATTTTTTTGGGTTTCCCTTTTTTAAATAATTTAGTTTAAAAAAAAAAAAAAAATCTTTAGTAAAAAGACAAAATTCAACAGTAGATAAGGCATAAGAAAAACTTCACTATTTTATTTATTTATTTATTGTTTGTTTGGATCTATGGTTTCACAGGCTAATAATCATATCACATTTAGAGTTTGTGTAAATACTTTTTCTTCGTTTTGGATGGAATGGGGAGGGGTTAGGCCAGGGTTGGAAAGGCCCAGGAGCCAGGTAGCCATTTCTCCTTAAAATTTATAGCTGGTACCTAACTTTTGAGGTAAGTGCCAGTGGTGACACGTAAATCCTGTTGGCTCCTGTATTAGACAGATTAGCTCCTAAAATCCGAAATAATTTGGCCATCACTGGCTTAGACCCTATGTCAAGTTTTTATTGCAGCTTGTGTCCCTGCTGGACAAATTCACCCCTTTATCTGTCCAGCAGGGACACAAGCTGCAATAAAAACTTGACATAGGGTTTTTATTGCAGCCAAAGTTTTAGTGCTGTCGTTGGGACAGGTTAGGTAGGGGAATTTTTCCAATGGGGAAACAAATGGTGACAGGATATTTTACATTCCCCTCTGAATCCCCTTAATTTGGGTCTCCCCTAGGACAGGAAGTAAAGTAAAATGTTCCCATCAGGACACCGTTACATACACTGTCTACACACAGCCTATTATATCAGAGCCAGTATTTAACCAGTGAAGTCAGAGCTCGGAATAACATACATGTTCCAAGCAAGTGAATCTATTTTGAAACCAGAGGATCAATATGATAGTCGGTTAACTGGCATTTTCAGAAGGAGGTTAACAATTGTCGTAAACATAGCTTATGATCGGTTTGCTTTAAAAGATAGAAATTGGATATTACCCAAATATTGGTGGTCGATTGGTGTTTTGACCAAAATTCTTGTTTTATATTTGTAGGTTATCACTTTGTTCCTGCATCAGAGCACTTATTACGAGAGAAAATACTTGCAGAATTCCTGTTCTGGCTAATGGACACGTATGTTATTCAGCTATTAAAGGCATTTTTTTACATCACAGAAACCATGTTTCAGAAAAACAAGCTGTTCTTTTACAGGAAATGTATTTGGAACAAACTTGAAACCATTGGAATATGGTGAGATTTTGTTTTTTAAATTAAACATAAATACTTTAATGAAACTTTTTGTACCAGGGAAACAAATGTTAGATGTATTCTCAGTTCCTGCTATGATACAGCTCCTGTATTCATATCACATGCTAATTTCTCTCCTAGCATTTATAGGTGACCGTATCAGACCTCAGAGTGTATGCCCTTCCTTTTAGGAGGTTAGACACTTTTGCAGATCAAAAGACACAGCTCCTTCTAGTGGCAACATTATTTTATCAACCTGAGGGAGGTGTATTTTTGAGATAGGGCTGTACATTCAATAATTTTATATTGTGGATTAATAAAGTATATTTATAACTCTCCCTTACACCATTTCATATGGTTGATATGGCAGATCAGCTGGTCCAGGCAGTGAAGTTTGTATGTTACTCCTCTCTAAGCAATGGGCAGTTGAATACTCACATCTGCCCATCATTTGAAAGGGTTTTCATGCTCAAGTGTTGGTCTGCGGACCAATCTTCCAATAGGTCTCTTTTACAACTTCTCTTTGCAAGAGACTGGCTTTTTCAGGCCTCCTTAGATACTATTCTTTAAGATATGACTGAAGGCTAAAGCACTTCTCTCCCACACAATCGTAAACCAAGATCTTTTGTTCCATGGAGGAGAATTAAAAATCCTTCAACTCTTTCTCTAAGACTAAGCCTCAATCAAAGCAAAGTCTTTCTGGGTCCCTAAGACTTCCAAGTCTTCTACAGCATTGGGTATGGCCCCACCTGTGAACAACAGAGTGCAAGAAGACTGTTGATGTTTCCTAATCTCTGTAACATCTATACCTAGGTAAGGGAAGTGGTCTTGATCTGGTACACGTAGAGTCTTTATTTCCCTCTCCCAACAGGTTTTTTTTTCTCTGGTGTGCTCGTTCTCCTTTAAAGGACTACAGCTCCCTTGGAGGCCTTACAAAGTCTTTTTTTTTCTTCCAAGGAGTGGTGCTCCCACATTTCGCGTTTGCATTAGGGTAGCTGAACTTGACTCTGCCTTTTTAATCTGGCCACAAAATCCCTAGGTCAGGAGTAAAGAATTAACATTTTCATCTAGCAGGGGTCAAAACTGCGGTCCGGACAGAATGGTCACTCAGTCCGTGTCCGTGCTGTGGTTTGCCATTTAAGCTGCATTCACACCAGCAGCTGCACTACAACACACAGCTTCTGGTGTGTGTTCCCAGTCACAGTGCTAATTTGCATTGCATGGTTAATTTTTAAAAAATGTCTTTGCTAAAACTCCCCTCCCCCCTATTTACATACACATGCATGCTCTACATGCACATGTTCATTCGAATCAGATGGTGGGGGTGGTAGGTTTAGTTCTATAATCTTTTGTATTTTTTATTATTTTTAACTTTTATCTCCTTTAAAAAAATAAAAAAATTCCACCTAACTTGTGCTATCGCAAAGGGGCTTAGAAACTCCCTATGTAACAGCATTTGGAGGTGACAGGTTCTCTTTATGGAGACATGAGGCGTCTAATAGACCCCTCATGTCTCCCCTGCTCGCCAATACAGACAATCAAGCACAGGATTGTGCTTGATCGTATATTTATCTGCCACTTCAGCTGTCTTCTGACAGCTCTGAAGCAGGGCGCGTGAGAGCACAGCATTCCCTACTTAATCACAGAGCAGATGGGGGAACGTTGCTTGGTCTGCTCCTGCACTCTATCCTGACACCCTCTGCTGTGGGGGAGTGGCACCATGGCCACCCAGATCACTTTTAGTTGACAAGCTGGCCCTGCCTGACATCATTGGTTGCTTGGACGCCAGCAGTCCTATCAACCAATCACTGAAGTGAAGCTGCACTAGTCGGCGATCGCGGTCTGGACAGAACCGCCACTGGGTCCGTATCCGAACCATGGTCCAGCATTTAGAGACTCCTGCCCTGGGTATTTACAAATGTTCTGGCAGTCCTAAGAACCCAGGACCTCTCTGTGATTGCATATTTCATCAATCTAATCCGCATTATGCCAGTTTTTGGCATAACGTCTTGCATGCAGTGCCATGAATCATAAGTTAATAAGATTGATTTGGAGCCAAACCCATGAGTCCCATGTACCCAATCCCATGTACAGGATTTAGAAAAGTAATATAAATATTTTTTTTTAAAAACATTGTTTATTGCATAACATATATTGCTGCCTACCATATATTGCTGCCTATCGATTGGACACAATGAGAGAAAACAGAAGGTGCGACATCCATATAGCCTTTTGTTTTTACTGTGTGTCCAATCCTCCCGTACAAAACCTGCTGCGGCTTAGTTTCCCAAGAAGGCAGGATGGCTCTCTCCAGCTCTGCTTGATTTATACTTCTCTTGGGGAATGTTTCTACAATCAATGGGCTGCTAGTAGATTGAGTCCATGCATCGCAACATGGCTTGGGTAATCCAAGAATGTTTATCCAGATAAGAGATTCAACAAAATGATGTCTTAGTATTCATGTCTTTTCGACCTGAGGCAAAACCTGTTTAAACACTGGTAGGACATCTCAGGACACCAGTGAAGTGCTATTGTGGCCCCTGACACTCAAACACCAAATCTCACACACTGTCAAGGCTGACTTCCTCATAGAAAGGGATGGAACCCTTTAGCAGTGGGAGGAATGTATCCAGGTAGATTTTTCCCTTTCCTTTACATTTGTAGTAGTCAATAGGTCCCCAAAGGACCCCTTCCAACATGGCTGCAAAGGTTTGGCAGGTAGAGTCTGATCAAACAATTTCCATCTCTCGCCTGGGAATGCACGTCAGCAAGTGTATAATGCAAATGTGCCAAAAGTATTTCAAAAGATGCAATATACTCTGTAATGACTTTCTGCATATGTCTAATTTACATGTAAGCATCTGTTCATTGAACCCTGCCTGCTCACATACCTTTTCAAAGTGGCATTATACTTTTTAACTTTTGCTGGCGGTGACATGGGGTGTAAAACTGCTAAAGCACCCCAAACTCTTTCACAGGGGCTTACTTGCTTCCTCTTTAACTGTCTAAGCTTTTGCCCATCCCAGGAAAAAATGACATATGTACACCAACACATATTGAAAAATATAACACTTTATCAGTGCCGATACCGAGTATTTGGGAGATTACTCTTACTTGCCCCAAATGCTCCCGATGCCTATCCCAAGCCAGCTCCATGCTTCCTCGTCGCCTGGTGATGAGGTAGCATGGAGCTGGCTAATCGGGATGCCGGGCGGTCCCATTAAGGAAGAACCGGTATTGGTGCATTCCTAATTTCTACCACTTGGCCGAGAGTGCTCAGATCTCCACTTAGAAGACATCAGGAGACAGGCTAGGTATCGCTGAACCTCTGGCGACCATTGGGCAAACAGAAAAACAGGATAGATGAACTGAGAAGCGCTATAAACAGGACGGATGAGGAAAGCACATCCACTCCCGTTTACATCACGGCCATGCCCCCCCTCTGTCAGCATCTTTATTGCCTTTTAGTGGTTACCTTGAGTTACATCTTGGGAAACTAGGGGGCTGGATGCCCTTCCTGGGTAACTTAAGGAAATGTTCTACTCCAGCGGACTGCTGTCCTTTTGTGGACCTTGCCTTTTATGTACATCTGGTGTACAGGTCTCTCTGCTTCCAGCCCGGCCTGCGGTGCCTCCTCTCTGGACCTGACTGGCCTGGCATGCTATCCTCTGCTTGAGTTCCAATACTCTTAGGAGGCTACCTTTTCTCCGTCAGCCATGACCCTATATTTGTTCTTAATCCTGGAAGGTCTCTCAAGTTTTACATGATTTATGAATATGTTGCAATTTTGGATATTTTCTCTGACCTCCAGAAACGTACCTCAGTGCTTTCACCTGCAGCATCAATCTCTACCTGTCCACTGCCTTGGTGGGCCCCTAAATATTTGGCTGCCGTGACTCTATGCGACATTGTATATCGTTGTCAGTCAGTGTTATTCCTGAGGACTCAGGTGATGTTGTACAGCTTGATACCTGTTTGAGCGGGTTCCCTTATCAGTAGTGGACTGTTCCCACAGTTGATCCAGCATTGCCCTGCCCTAATGCATCGCAGAGAAATGAAAGACAGGAAGTGGATTTATCTAGTCGTCTTCCCGTAAGAATCTTCTATAAGTGCATATGCAGGTTATGTGTTCCGCAGCAGAGCAGGCATATAAAAATGTTTCTGGCACATGTCCTTTGAGGGCCAATTCCTTTTTTTCAACTGTCTTGTTTACCTAATTCATGGACTTCAATTAAGGTAATAGTATTCTTCTAAATAAATTATATTAATCCGCACTCCTAACTATAACACAAAAAAAATCTAAAAAACAAATAGCTGAAAGTGCTCTAATCATGTATTTCATTCAATTCATATATTATCTCAAGTGCACTACGCTCCCACCCACAGGTAGCCTATTTACCTCAATATTGTGCTAAAGTGTCAATGTGCAATAATGTCACCGATATCTCAAAATATGAAAATTACATAAAACCAGTAGAAAAAAAAGTCCATTCCTTCATAAAAAAACAATAATGAAAACCAATAATCTGAAAAAAAAATTTGGGGAAAAAAACTAGATGCTTAATAGAAGAGTGCTTCCCAATTTGTGTGCCTTAACCATCATTCTGAGATCAACAGCCATCTTTTGTGTTCATAGTAGAAGTTGTGCCGTGTATACAATATCCATCACTGCTCTTCACACCGCACTCACCAAACTCAGAGAGAGACCAGAATAAAAACCATTGCATCAAAAGGAGGAATATATTTAGAAAATCAAAACTTGAATACTATTTTAATTCTAATCATATCGGTCCCAGACTTGTACAATGTACCGTATATACTCGAGTATAAGCCGTCCCGAATATAAGCCGAGGTACCTAATTTTAGCCAAAAAAACTGGGAAAAAGTATTGACCCGAATATAAGCCGAGGGTGGGAAATGAGGCAGCTACTGGTAGATAGATACCATTAAAATACATTAATATTTATTTAAAAGAAAAATAACCTAGCTCTGTAAGTGGAAAA